AAACAGGGTAGCAGGCCAGTAAGAGTTTACTGGGCTCAGTTTGCTACGTTAATACATCAGCTGCAGTGGGCTATGGACTCTCCTCCGGTAGAAGCGATCTTCAGAGGGGGTTTGAACGCAGAGGTGCAGGATCAGCTTGCCAGGATGCCAGAACCCTCTAACTTTGATGAACTAGTGAGAATCTGCCTACAGATTGGTTTAAGGGAGGAAGCCAGAGAGGCAGAGAGAAAGACTGCAGCCAGGAGAAATTGGCGCGAAAGTCTCATTCCAGAGATTCCAGAGCGCAAAACTGGCGGAGGGCCCAGAAAGAATGGGGAGGAGCCGATGGAACTGGGAGCTGTGCGCGCCAAAACCACTTCGACCGTTAGCACAACAGCAAAAGAGGAGAGGAGGGGCTGGAAGGAGACTAGGAAGTGTTTCCTATGCAGCCAGCCTGGACATATTGCCAAAAACTGTCCAAAGCGTCGTGCCTGGGAGTCCTTGTCAGGCGCAGAAGTGAAGGAGGGTAACGGAGCACAGGAGCAGGAGCAGGGAAACGAGACAGCCTGGCTGGAAGTGGAGACCCCCAGCCGGGAAAGGAAGAACTAAGAGGTCTCCGAGCCGGCACTCCAGTCCCTGGAATCACTTTGGAAGTGAAACTACAACTCCCAAATGGGCGCCATCTGACTGTTCACGCATTAATTGACTCTGGTGCATCTGCCGATTTTTTTGACATTGACTTGGCCCTGGAGCAGAGACTGGCATTAATTCCTTTAGATTTTCCCTTACAGGTCCAAACGATCGATGGAAGGCCCCTGGTGGCGGGAGATGTCACGTACCAGACCCCGCCTATGAGAATGGACGTGGACCGCCATACTGAGACACTGTCCTTCCATGTGACTAAGCTGAGTGGACACCCCGTGGTATTGGGGATGAGTTGGTTAGCCAAGCACGACCCTGCCGTAGCTTGGCACCAAAGATCGCTCACGTTTGCTTCGGCCCACTGTCTTCAGAATTGTTTGGGGAGAAGAAGGGAGGATTCATTGGGAGTCCGGGGAGCTAAAGTGGGAGAGGAAGGGGTTCACACGGGGGAAGTGAACATACCTCATTACTATGCTGCCTACAAGGACGTGTTTAGTGAGAAGGAGGCAGACAAGCTCCCCCCCCCACAGGGAGTATGATTGCAAGATAGACTTGGTGCCAGGGGCCACGCTACCCCCTGGGAAGCTTTATTCTATGTCGGAGGCAGAAACGCAAGCTTTGAGGGAGTTTTTGGACGAAAACTTAAAAAGGGGTTTATCCGAGAATCCACTGCAGCAGGGGGTTCCCCTGTTTTCTTTGTAAGCAAGAAAAACACGGATAGGCTTCGGCTGGTGTGTGACTTTAGACGGCTGAACAGTGTAACGGTACCTATAGCCTACCCATTACCAAAGATAGGGGATTTATTGACGAAGGTCAGGACGGGGAAAATCTTCACGAAGTTGGATCTGAGGGGGGCTTATAATCTGATCAGAATCCGAGAGGGGGATGAGTGGAAAACCACATTCTACACCCTATTTGGGTCATATGAGTTCTTAGTCATGCCCTATGGCTTACAGGCGGGAACGGCCACATTTCAATCATTTATACAGCACGTGTTGGGGTCACTGCTGTACAAGAACTGTGTTTGTTATTTGGATGATGTACTCATCTTTTCAGAAACTGAGGAAGAGCATGTGAAGCATGTTACAGAGGTATTAGAGAGGCTGAAAAGGCATAAGTTGTATGCCAAGTTAGAGAAATGCCAATTCCACGTGAGAGAAGTGGAATTTTTGGGATACCGCCTCTCTACTGAGGGTATACACATGGAAAAGAGTAAGGTGCAAAGTGTGTTAGAATGGAAGCCACCCAAAACGAAAAAGATGTGCAAAGGTTCATAGGCTTCAGTAATTATTATAGAAATTTTATACCTAATTACGCACAAATCACGGCCCCCATAACCAATTGCCTGAGAGGTAAGAAGGCTTTCCATTGGACTCTTGAGGCACAGGCCTCCTTTGAGAAATTAAAGAAGGTGTTTGCCTCAGAAGAATATTTGATACATGTAGAGCCAGGGAAGCCCATGAAGGTAGAAACAGATGCCTCTGACAGAGCAGTGAGGGCCATACTATTACAAGAGGATCAAAAAAAGAACTGGAGGCCCTGTGCCTTTTATTCTAGGAAGCTAAGTCGTACTGAACAGAATTACACAATCTTTGATAAGGAACTTTTGGCTATAGTAGAGTTGTTCCGAGTTTGGAAGCACTTCCTAGCAGGTGCTCAACAGCAGGTACAGGTGTATACAGACCACAAAAACCTAGAGTACTGGAGCAGGGCTAGGCTCCTGAATCAGAGACAAGTAAGATGGGCAGAGTTCCTGTCAGGCTTTAACTTCAAGATAGGGTATGTGCCAGGGGTGCAGAATGCAAGGGCAGATGCGCTACCCAGAAAACCCGAATACATGGAAGGGCAAGAGACTCCCACAGAGAGATATGTGTTCAAACCGGAACAATGGCAATGTGCGGCCACCATAGTAAGGGAGCAAGAACTGCAAACACTCACAGAAAGGGATGAGTATGCACAAAGGAAAGTGTTAGAAATAAGGCAAAACGAAGGCAGAGGGGGGAGTTTTGAGGAGAGAGAGGGTTTACTGTATTACAAGGGGGTGTTGTATGTACCAGATGGGGAATTGAGGGCGAGAATTCTTAGACAACATCACGACAACCCGACTGCAGGGCATTTTGGGCGTAATAAAACTATGTATCTGATTACTAAGGAATTCTGGTGGCCCAAAATTAAGGATGACGTAGCAGAGTACGTCAGGGGCTGCGCAGTGTGCCAAAGGGCAAAGGGAGAAAGGGCCGCGCCTGCAGGCTTGCTCCAACCTTTGCCCACACCTGATAGACCCTGGGAGATGGTCTCTATCACAGACTTGCCGGCGTCTCAGAGAAAGACAGTGATTCTAGTAGTGGTGGACATGTTGACAAAAATGGCACATTTCATACCCTGTACCAAAATGCCCTCGGCGCAAGAAACAGCCAAACTGTTTATAGACAATGTGTTCAGGTTGCATGGAATAGCTTCGAGATTAATAACAGACAGAGGAAGTCAATTTACTTCACGTTTCTGGAGGAAGTTAATGGAGTTATTGGAGATAGAAGTAAATTTCACCTCAGCTAGACATCCTCAATCCAATGGGCAGTCAGAGAGAGTGAATGCTATATTGCAGCAATACTTGAGATGTTACGTAAGTCACCAACAAAATGACTGGGCTGAGAAATTGAGTTTGGCTGAATTTGCATATAATAATGCAGTGCACACCTCTACAGGGGTGTCGCCGTTCATGGCTAATTATGGGAGGCACCCCCGAGCATTCCCTGGGAGGGAAGGAAGGTTGTTAGTGCCTGCTGCAGAAGAGTTTGTAGAGGAAATGGAATTCCTACATAGGATGCTTAAGGAGGACCTAGAAAGAGCAAAAATAGAATACAAGAGGACAGCGGATGCCAGAAGGAGGGAAGGAGAGAGGATACAAGTGGGAGACAAGGTTTGGTTGTCGTCCAAGGGGTTACCATTTAAGGGAAGGTGTAAAAAGCTGGAACCCCGGAAGCTGGGACCATTCGAAGTAATAGAACAGATTAATCCAGTGTCCTTCCGGCTTCGCCTACCAGAGAACATGAAAATACACCCTGTGTTTCACAGATCTTTACTATCACCATACAATCCTGCACACAGGTATCAACAGGAGGCAAGGGAAACTCCTCCATCTCCAACAGTGGTAGAGAATGGGGTGGAGGAGGAAATTGAAGAAATCTTGGATTCTAGGTGGTATAGAAATAGGTTGCAATACCTGGTGGCGTGGGAGGGTTGTCCAGAAACTGAGAACTCCTGGGAACTGGCAGAATCCATTCACGCACCAGAATTGCAAAGGTCTTTCCATACAAGATACCCTCATAAACCTAGGCCACACGATTGGCAATTAAGAGAAATTTTTGAGCAAACTGACGAGGAAGAGGGAGATTTCTTTGGTTTTCAATCCTCAGAAGAAAGTGAGAGTGACGTGGAGGAGGAGGAGGATCTTAGAAGAGGGGACGTAAATCACTCCGGGAATCTGAGTCACAGGATTCGGACGTGTAATTATGTGTGCTGCTTGTACATATGTAAAATAAAGACTGTATCTATGTATCTCTGAGTGAGTAGAAGCACTTCTTGTGAAGAGTATTCTCAAGCCATCACATAAATGCAGCAAAGAAATGCAAGAAAGTTGTATTTATAATAGTTTGGTTTCAATCAGCTCGGTCAAATTAAATGAGTGAATTCGTGAGTATCCATTATGTGCTATGGAATCCCCTTGTAAGTGCACAGAATTCTTTGTGCTTTTGGATGGAAGAAGAACCTTGTCAATCAACTAATTTAAACTCAGAAAAGAAAATAGTAGGAGTAGCTAACATGAAATGCCATACTGTGGTTCCCATTAGCTCCAGTCAGCATGGCTAATGGCAAGGGATGATGAGAGTTTTCCACCAACACCTGAAGGACAGCACATTGGCTAGCTTGCATTACAGACTCTGATCCAGGTGCTCAAGTGCCCAGCTCCCAAAACTAACTATTCCATGTATTCTTTTCCTCATTTTCCCAAACAGTTCCTTACAACCAAGTGCCATCTGAATATTAGGCATTATGCACTCTTCACAACCATATTTCAGATCTCTTTCCATCATATGACTGCATCATCAACAACTTTTCTACTTTGCTGTTCAGGTCACATGAAATCAGTTGGATAACTTCATTCCCTTTCCACCCACCTGACAAATAATTTCCCAAAGATGAAAAATGTGTGTACTTGCCTATAATATTTTTTTTCAAAGCTACCATACTCCTTGACCACATGCACTTAGTTTTCAGAATATGCCACTTTTTTAATACTTTAGTTTACTGTTATTTCATTTAATTATCATAACATACCCTAATTGTTCGTGTTGGCTGGTGTTTATTTAATATCTTACTTTTTTGCTCTTGCTGTTTTCAACCATGGTGGTAGAGCTGAAACTCCATACCAGTATTGCATGTAGGATTCCAAGCCTCCACGGTTTTCTTGAAGTCTGGAGAGAAAGAAAAAATCATAATATATACCTCTTCAACTTATTACCACTAGTACTATTTCATTTATTATGAGCTGGATCCAACACTGCCCGTCTACGATCAATATGAGTTCACTGCAGACTTTCATGAATGAAAGTAGGGTGGGGACCATTTTTAGCCAAGCAAACTCCCACGTTGTTTCACAGCATCCTCCAACCCTCTAGAGCAGCTGGGCCAGCCCTATCATTAAGCAGAGATGGACGCAACAAAGTGATGAGAGGCACCAGCTTAGGAACCCCCAAGGGAACCCCCAGGGGAAGAAGGCTCAGAGCCGGTGGATTGGTTGTGGGACTACAATGAGTGGTCAGAGGCAGAAGATTGGGAGGAGGATGTGTCAGAAGCTGAAGAGGCAACAGGGTTTAGTGAGCAGGAAGAGACTGTGGAGGAGCACAGTTCTGACTCAAGGCAGAATAGGGGGACCAAGGGGCTGAGTAGAAGCAGGCTGCTGAAGACACCATGGAATCCCCCTCTCCTGCTGTGACCAGCTCCCATCCCCCCTGGTCTCCCAGAACACAGAGACAAATAAAAAGAACAAAGAGAGACAAGACAAAGGAGCCTTAGGCTGCTGGTGAATAATAATAATAATAAACATAATAAATAAACCTTTATTGTCACTACACCACCTGTGTGCAGTGAAATTAAATGACCCCCCCATATACACTCAGTCTTCTTCACGCTCTGTGTGCTTGTCAAAAGTCAATTACACCACTTTTTATTTTCCATTCAGCAGCCCAATAGCCCACGGATAAAAACGGTTCTTTAACCTGTTGGTGTGGCTGACTATACTTCTGTATCTCCTGCCCAAATATAGGAGATTAAAGAAGTGCTGGCCAGGGTGTGAGTCGTCCCTAAGAATTTTCCTCACTCTCCTGAGGCAGCGGTCTCCCGCAATGTCATCTAGCAAACTCTGAGGACAGCCCATGATGTCATGTGCTGTATTTGCCACCCTCTGTAGGGACTTCCTGTCTGTGACTGTCAAACCAGCATACCACACTGACACTTTCTATAGTGGCCCTGTAGAAGGAGATCATCAATTTTTGTTTGACATTATTCTTTCGCAAGACCCTGAGGAAATAAAGTCTCTGTTGGGCCTTCATAACCACCTGGGTTGTATTGATTTTCCAAGTGAGGTCTTCACTAAGGTAAACTCCCAGAAATTTAAAGGAAGAGACTCTCTCCACACACACACCCCTGATGTACAACGGGGCTAGTTCCTCTCTCTACCTCCGAAAGTCCAACACCATCTCCTTTGTCTTGCTGATATTTAGGTTCAAGTTGTTCTCTAGGCACCATGTGGACACTTTTTGAACCTCCTCCCTATACGCTGATTCATGTCCACCTGTAATTAGACCGATTATGGTGATATCATCTGCAAATGTAATAATTGTGGTGGATGGATCAGGTGAAATGCAGTCATATGTATACAGCAAGTACAGGCAGGGACTCAGCATGCATCCCTGAAGGAACTAGGGGAGGAGCCTTAGAAAGTAGTTGGAAGAGGGGAGGGAACTTCAATCCTTGCAACTGAACTGCCTCATTGGGGCAAGACCTACTGGGAAGAGTTGCTGTGATCACTAGGCCTGCACTGTTTGGGTTTCTTTGAATAAAGAGTTAACTTCACTGACACTGAGTGTTTTATCGATGACTTACTCCTGATTCCGGCTCCTGATAGTCCTGGGTTGTCAATCCAGTACTTTCTTGAAATATTCAGTAACATCACTATGAATTTTAGTGAAGGAAGTGAAATGGGCTAATAGAATAAAGTTAGCACTGACAGTGTGACACAACTCACAACGGGCATCTTGTCCATCAGTATAGGGAAATGACCACACCTCCAGGTATGTTAAAGCATGGGGAACTAGGCAGCATTGAGCAGCAAAATGGCCTGACTCAATAATTGTTGTTTGCCCTCCTGCTTCATTATGGAACCTTTTATAGCTGCTTAATTCAGGTACTTAGTTGTGAATGCTGCTAATCGAAGTAATCATGGAAAATTAGAGCTTTTTCACAAGGCAAGAACAACGTCTGCATTTATAGTCACATAAAATAGCAATAATTTCATTATGTGCTTTGTCACTTTCGCCCTCATACAGTTCTTTCTACCTTTCTATATGCTGTATGCATAGGGGTGGGGGAGAGACTTTGTGGATGCCATAAGCATTTGCTGAAGGTTTGCTTGACACACAATCCAACCATCTGCCATGCTGCAAGTGTTGACATGTCCCCAGCTGTCACTGGAAACCTGACTCCAATCTTGAGGATTGTTAAAGCATGTGAAGAAGAAAAGCATTCTTATTGCTTGACAGTGACCTCTTGGTAAGAAACTCAGTGAAGTTCAAGCCTAGATAGATAGACCGACAGATGGATATTATGGCCATTAGATGATTGCAAGGATGATTGCAAGGGCAACTAGCGGAGGCTGCTGAGCAGAAATGACTCACCACACCACTTTATCACAGAAGATTCCATAAACCAAAATAAACTACACTTTTCTCCACAATCAGGGAGATTGTTTGGTGTGGTGAGATCTTTGCATGCAGTAGCTTGCAACTAAAGGTAAAGGGACCCCTGACCATTAGGTCCCGTTGCGGACGACTCTGGGGTTGTGGTGCTCATCTCGCTTTACTGGCCGAGGGAGCCGGCGTACAGCTTCCGGGTCATATGGCCAGCATGACTAAGCCACTTCTGGCGAACCAGAGCAGTCCACGGAAATGCCATTTACCTTCCCGCCAGAGCGGTACCTATTTATCTACTTGCACTTTGACGTGCTTTCGAACTGCTAGGTTGGCAGGAGCAGGCACAGAGCAACGGGAGCTCAGCCCATCGCGGGGATTTGAACCACCGACTTTCTGATCCACAAGTCCTAGGCTCTGTGGTTTAACCCACAGTGCCACCCACGTCCCATAGCTTGCAACTAGGCTTGGGCAAATATGGCAATTTTGGTTTCTCGGTTTGCCTTCCCGCCCCCCATCTTCACATTTCCACTTCAGTCTGCACAAATAATATATAATGCAACTGTTAATGAAATCAGTGACCATTTGGAGGCCGATTGCCAACCACCTGTTTAAAAAATGTATGGACATATTGACTAATTATTAACATTGCCCAGTCAACATTTCCTCAACTTAGAAAACAACAACCACTGAATAAATATTCATGTCATCAATGTAAAAGAGAGAGAAAAAGTCACTAATTATGCATATGCATCTGTGCTGAAGAAATACTCAACACTGCCAAGAGACTTCAAATTGTGGACACGTTTGGGATCTGAATAGCCTTGCATTGCAAATAATAATTTCAGAGAGAGTTGTAGTTCTTTCATTGCTTTTAATATCATTTATGTCCAGGAAAACAAACGTTACACTTTTATTTTTAAGCAAACAGAAATGCATCTTGAGGAAAACAAATTATATTTGTGCCAGATATTTAGATTCCTTCCTTCTGGCATAAATGGTTCAAATTGTACATTTTCTTAATGTTCATGATACAATTTCCCAGGAATGTGAAAGACTCCTTGGTAGTGAGTTACTGTTCTTTCTGTCCTTTCACAAGGTAGGTAGTAGCAAAGAAATTTGGTAGTTTGGGATGTAAATACAAGGATGGACAAAGCAGGAAAGTATTGCTGGGTTAGAAGTATTGCTGGGTTACAGCCCTGAGGGACAGTAAGAAACTACTCTTTTGCTTTTGGGGATTTGAGGCAAGATCAGACCTTTGCTGCATATTGTGGAAGTAATTTTTGTCCCAATGTGCCCTGCTTGAATATTTCCAACACACATATTACAAAGACTCTTTTGGGTAAATAAATGCATATAGAAAGTGGAACAGAATAATGCCAGCAGCCACCACCTCCAACTCCTGTTTAGGCTCTATACACATGATCGGGAACACTGCTTTTTATTAGTGAAGCAACCCAAACTTGTAACTGGTCAGTCTCAAGGACGAATCTGATGTCCAGATGAATACAAAGCTTTGGTGTCTCTCTAGTGAACTGAAATATTCTTGTAATTCTAACCAAGTTTGATTATGAGTTAATTCATTGTTTGTACACATGAATGTTGAGCATGCATCTTTGTTGATATTCAGATATTGATTGCTGCCGACTCTTGACTGAGGTATTAATTGGCATGATTTCTTCACCACAAGACGTCAGGGAGGATTACAACAACATAATACGCAGTTATAAAAACCGATAAAACCATTACAATTGTGAAACAAGAAAAGTCATTTCACTTGGAGCAGGACAGTATTCAGCAAAGGAGGTGAGTCCCACAAAATGAAATACAGTAGCTGTCAAAGGTCAATGTAAAGACGTGTGCCTTCATAATATGGTGAAAGGTAAACAATAAAGCACATAGGAAAAGCTAGACACATCTCTGTGGGGAGGGTGCTCCACAATTTAGGAGGTGCCACAGATAAAGCTCTCTCCTGGGCTGCCATGTTGCACACGTCTGAGGGTCATGGAACTATCAAGAGAGCCCCCTCAGTAGATCATAACATCTGATAAGGTTAGCAGGAATGAAAGCAGTCTTTCAAACATTTTGGACCCAAGTCATTTAGGCCTTCAAAATACTAAACCAGACCCACCAGGTGTCCCTATTTTCCAGGGACATCCCTGATTTAGAAAAGCTGTCCCAGTTTCTGATTTAATCCCAGAATTCCCTGCTTTTCCTTAGGAAAATGGGGAAAAAAATAAGGATGACATGTTTTTGGATAATATGTTTTGTTTAAATCTTCAATAAAAATTATACAAAAAAGAAAAAGGTAGCCCCACACAGAGCACATTGCAGTAGTCCAGTCAGAAACTCACCACAGCATGGAGTACAGTGGCCAAGTCATCACTGTCCAAGGACCACAGCTGGTGACCCAGCCATAGCTGGGAATGGGCACTCAGCCTCTGAGACTACCTGAGCCTCCAAAGACCATGCTTGATTCAGGAACACCTCTGAGCTGCAAATCTGTT